CTCTCTCTCTCTCTCTCTCTCTCTCTCTCTCTCTCTCTCTCTCTCTCACTCTCTCTCTCTCTCACACACACATCGCAATCCGGTCCGCTTAGAACAAAGTTCTCGGAATTGATTCCCACAGTTTCGAAACTTGGTGTGTGTACATATATTTTTTTAATCCCCTACGTTCGCTTCAGTGAAATGATCCGATATAAATTTGGTAATAATCGGGACATTTAATTATTTTCTTTGTATATGAAAATAAATACAAAACTTCATTTACATATATTTTTATTTGGAAACAATATCGAGGACGGTGTGAATAATATCAAAGCACTTGAATTAGTATGAAAGCAATGGATTCGAAGGAGAATTAATGATGAATTAATCGAGATTAACGTATTTGTTGCCGCGCGGATAACCTGGCGGAAATGGTCCATCTCCGATAGGTCTTGTATCCTGTCCTGGAATGATAATTCCTTCCTCTGGAATGCATTTAGCCTGATATGTAGAGCAAACAAGATGACGGCAACAGTCTTCGTACACTAGACACTGAAACACCATATGCATGTATAGTAAATAAATGTAACGAGTAATAAACGCATACATTGTACGTAGAAAGATTTTAAGATGAATAGTTCAGGAAAAGATATGGATGGAATTGACTAAACGCAACCTGTCGTCAAATTATATTATTATTAATTTCTTTTAAATTTGCGAAAGTGAATTGGGTTTCCTCGCGGTATATTTGTAATATTACATAAAGAGACTTACATGGCCCTTCCATGGACTGCATGAGGCTTGTTGTGCTGAAGCGAAGGTAACAAAAGCAAAGGCTGTCACGATGACGAGGATGAGCACCGTAAGTTTCATTGCAACTGGTAGACTTAAAACATCGAATCATAATTAAACGCAATTAATAATTATAAACATCCATTGAACATCAATAATAAAATATTACGACATGAGTATTATCTACCAAAGAATTAAATAATATTTTCCAAATGTTCTCTTCGTTTGTAAATATGTGCTGAATTTTTTTTAACGATTTCAGAATAATAACACGTTTGTACGTAACTTGTAACGTACATAAAACTATCGATACAATGATTCACTAAGACAATACGTATTCACTTAACTTATTTACTCTTCTAGTTACTGTAATCTTTGTTTCTATATTTCACAGAACTTTAGACGACTTCCAGGAAGGTGTGATTAATTTCTAATTAAACAATACCTTTGTTCAATCGTCTGCTCGCGAGAAACCCAACCGTTCACGTGAAAGTATTTTCAGAACTGTCCTGAAAAGAGGAGGTTCCCGCATTTATACAAGACGCCTGATCAGGTTTGTAATCACCCGCATGCACATGCTATCGTTTAACTTCGCTGCTTTATTGATAAACAGAGTTAAATAATGTCGTTACGTATACAGAAACTACTCGTTGAGTCTACGTGTTTGCAAATAATAGATTAAGGAATATCGGTATTTCCAACATTCTTCTCGTTCCGTTTAATATGTAAATGGTTTGCTAATTTATGTGGGACTCTTCACCGATTTACCGATGCGTATTAAGCATTGTATTTGTCTGGCGTGATGTTTCAGCAAACACGAAGCTACTGGGCTTATTACAAAATTGTGAAACCTACTTTTCTAGCGCTTTAAATATATATTCCTGCCATCGAGCACGATCTAAACCCGAACTGCGTGGCTGATACGTCACATTCAGGAGGACAAACACTTAACGATGTGTGCTTTCAAGTCCAGACCATAATTTGAAACAATCGTGGCACAACAGCCAATGCACGAATACAATATACGCAGGTATTCGTATCGTACATATTATTAATTTTCGTTTAAAATAGTAGCAACAAATTAGGCATTAATTTGTTTGCTGCACTTAGATGTTTTCTACATTGAAACGAATCATTATTTTTCAATTTGCAAGACTCGTAAGAAAAATTTACTAAATTAAAACGCATCGAAATTAATTATGACGATTACTTCGTTTTCAATGTGCGACGTATACAGATTATATATTTTTATTCAATGAAGTAAGCATGTTCTTTGTTTGTTTCATTAACAAACTTACTCTTTAAGTTGCAGATATGCGAAATTCTCGCGTGGGTCACCTGGAGGAGAATTTCCGTACCTGGGAACTCCCGTTAGATGAGGTCAGTCACTTTGCCGTAAACCGAACGCATGTACTCGGTCAATCAAATATAGCGAGCGTCCTCGGTTAGTGATAAGATCGATTCAGTGACACAATCGTTAATATCGATGCGTATCGATTCACCGAGCATTCTATCGAGTTGCCTATAACACGTATCGGAATAAGTTGGCACTGATGTTGAATGATGATAACATTTATTGCACATATTGTTGTGAATAATACGAATAACTTTTAATTTTGCTTATTTAGATAATCGGTAGGTTTACTTACTTTTCATACAATTTTGCGCAATGCTGCTGAGAAAGTTGCAAAGTTCAAAAAATAGAGGATTCGAAGGGGACGAATTCAACGACACGTGGTTCAAGATCATACAAGGCCAATCAAGATCAATCGAGGTCAACGATGGTTAACCAAAGTCAGTGCATGGCTAATCAGAGCAGATCAAGGTCAATCGGGGTCATTCAAGGTCATTCAAAATCGTACAACGTCAATTGTGAACGTATTAGTTTGGAACAGGTTCATTTTAACATTTCAGAAAATTTTTTATTCTTTCAAATTTTTATATAAAGTGTTGAAAAATGTTACACGTAATTGTTCAATGTTTAAAATGAAATCTATTTGGTAGTAAATAAAGCATCTTATAAATGCTTTAGAAGACTGTGTATTAACGTAAATAAATATTGGAAAACAGTTTTCCGCAAACTCTTTGCCATTTTCTTCGTCGTTAATGCGATTGTTTATCTGGCATACATTTAAGTTCATAGAATATATCGTGTACATTTGAATCTCACCGTGAACGTGTGCACGCACTATCTCGAAATATTCGACGCAATTACTGATAAATTGATACGATTCGATACGATCAGCGGGTGACAAACTTTCAGGAAAGCAATCTATCGGTTACAAAATTATAGCGGTAGAAATCACGATTGCGAAACAGCATGTATCGACTTTTCGAAATTTCAAACATCTTCAGCTGTTTCAACAGTCATTAAACACGTATCGTGTAAACTAACGAGAGAGGTTAGGCTGTGGGAATTATAATTAGTCCACGAAAGTCGTTCCTTTATAATTTATCCATAAATAGTTTTTATTACCATAAATTTATAACACTTTCAATAACTCTACAATAAACTTTTATTTTAAACATTTCGTTTTATTCTATATTTTGTTTACATTTTATAAGTTTTTCTTGATAACAACTGGCCGTTTCAGTTGTTAGCATTCTTAACCTTTAATGAATGAATTTACAATCCGCAAAAGGAAAGAAATCTGGAACATATCAATACGCTACATCAATCGTTCTCTTTTTTTCACTGCATAGAAACAAGAATATAGTAAGAAAAATATAAAACCTTTTTTTATACTCATGCATGAACTTACTTTTTGAAAAATTTCGGCACATTTATCCTTAGTGTCAATTTTATCTATATCATTGGATGCAAACACCACTGATATTACCATAATGATAATAAAAATCACCGAAATCCAACTTACGATATTTGCCGACATAATGTTTCTCTGAAATCTCAAGAAAATAATATTATAAGCTCACGAGATAAAGTTTAAATCGAGGAATTTGGAATTTTATCGAATTTCATTATTTTGATTATAAACATTTTTCAACTCTCTCATAAAAAAATAGTAATACGATAATTCTACCATGCTGACGAATAAACATCAACAACGTCGATCGTTGTTACGTGTCGTAGTCAAGTAGGTACATACTCCAAAACTCGAATTTTCGAACCAAAACATCCCATTCCACATGTTAGTTTTATGTTTTCGAACAAACTTATCTACTTTTCGGTTGGACCAAAATTACACAGCAATTTATATGGAATAGCACAATATAAACGATGCTCTTTCAAAACGAGATAAAATTGAATTATTTGTATCAATAATTTCTAAGCACTCGTATAGAAATTCAGTATTTTCCAGGTAAAATAAAATTAATAATTAATATTATTGTCAATTTTTTATAAAGTTTAAATCGGCATGATATATCTTAAGTAGAGGACAATATTCAAAGTAGTGCTGTTTGTTTATTAAAAATATCTTATCAAAAGATGTTGCCAACGTGAACTGATAAATGATCAAAATTCCTTTCTTGTATTTATAGAGCAGATAACACACGTGTCATACTATCATTGGTTAAAGTTATGCACAACCCACTAAGCTTGCATTCAAAGTTTACGCAACTGATACATTTTTCTGACGTTTAATGATGGAATTAAAATAGAGATAAGAAGATAAAAGTAAAAATAGCAATTTTATTACAACAAATGAGTCATAGCTAACAAAAGCTAACAAAAGATAACAGTAAAAATTACTATTGTATGTGGAAAAAATAAACCATATCCGTTCTATGTCAATTATTGATGTTTGATATTGTTGAATAAATAACAAATGCCTAAATCCATGAATATTGCTTTTAATTTTAATTCGTTGTACTATACACAAATAAGTGATAGTAAACTGGTAAAAACGTGGATAAGGAAAATCATAACGCTGAACGAAATATATTTTTGGAATGATGTATTAGCCATACTATATTCTGAAAAGACTTATAATATACATTGAGGTAAGTGGGTTCGAAGATTATTTCGTAGGCCTACGAAGGTAAAATAATATTGATCAGTCGGTCATTTATTGCTGCTTATGCTAGTGGTTCATCTGGATTCTCTTGTATTGCAGCTGAGGATGAAGGAGCTGGTGGAGCTGGTGGTGCTGGTTTCTTGGTGCATCGGCCTGCCCATGGATTGCATACCATCGGTGCACAGCAGTCTTTGTCTTCAGTGCACTGTAACAAATTACACCTGAGAATTAGTCATTCATATCCACGGGAAATGACAAACAAACAGAGAATTCATTGGTTTCTAATTAATTGTGAGAATTATTTATCTGGAATCTTTATATTCATTTCACTGTCCATCAAAACATTTTTCTATTTCAATATTTCAATAATGGTCTTACATAAAAGCTGCTGTACTAGACGCAGTAGGTCATTGAGCAACAATAGATAATTTTGAATAATAAATAACTACTGGACTCCAAAGAATTACTAAGTTTTCATATCCAATCACCAACGAATTACACCACAAATATAACTGATTAAAGCAGTCCTTTAAATATGAAAGTTATCGATAAATAATTAACATATTCACTTACGAGTAATCCAGGAGGTTTGCAGGCGTCGACAAGGGTAACAACCAGAAGAGCAACGCACAGAATTGCAATTTGTTTTCTCATTTTCGTTCGAGTTATCGCTAATTCAAACAGATAATCAGTATTTAGTTACAAACTATTCTAACGAATATTCTTATTCGTTAATAAATGTTCACCCAAGTTTAAAGCTCACCTTTCGATTAGTTGGATAATGCTGGTAGGTATGTGATCAGGTTGGAGAAGACCTCTGTATTTATATGATCGACCAACGGATCGGACGATAAAACTTTGTTTATTTTTCAATGACTATTGCACCTTGATGAGACATAAGGCCACGCACTATTTGCGTTTGTCGCCGATGATGTTATACCTTATCAGGATTCGTCGATCGGTTAAACATTGTGAGGAACGATCGAATAAACAAATTACGTAAACGCTCTTGTTTTGCTGATATTTATAAAAATACAAACCACCCATCGAGCCATATCTTAATCGAACAATTTTCCTTGAGATAGCGAAAAGTGTTGTTTACGTTCTTGGACAGAATTTTCAACGACTTCGGTCGCTATAGACTATACCGAGATCTCAATTTTATTCTTAGGTGTTCGATGTGTATGGCGAATTGGTAGAAGACAAATCGAAAACCGAGTAATTGAATTATTGTTAATTATTATTCGTCATCAAAGGACATGTAAGTTTCGCTGGCAATCTGGGTCGACCGTGCTTGAGTTCCTGGAAAATAACGCGTTCTGATGTTAACCGTAATCGTCCATTAGGTTTTCGCGGCCTGTCGACGATAATTGGCGTAACACAGGCGTAATATTTCAAAACACATGGCGTGTAACGCGCTCGCGTGTCGTTCAAACCCGTCCTCTAAATTGATTCAATTGTCCTACCCCGAGGGAGACACCTCTTCGTCCAGATATTTTCGGGAACCCGATGGAAACCATCGACCGCGACTGCTGCCCTTTTTTTTTTTGCTCAATACTGCGAGCGATCTTGCCTCTAGGCAGAACATTATTTTCGTACATCGATAATTGTACGCCTAGGCCTCTGGTAACAGTTAAAGGTGACGCTTGCTCACGATCGACGCTGAAGAGGAACGCAAATTGTTAAATCAAACAACAGTAATTTTTGTTGAGCTTCGTTCGTTAAAAGAATGAAGATTCACAAATAAGTAGTAACACAAAAGTGAGAATTCTTCGTAATGTAATATACATATGTATATTTCGATAATTCAAAGTGCGATAAAGTGGACACTAACAGGACCGGAATCAGTGGTGTGATGCAAATTACAAATTGGTAAGTGAATATTCGATATTTTCAATGTTTCACAAAAATGCCAAAAATCGGGGACCATTCGAGTCGGTTTTTTTTTTTTTTTATTTTTCATTCTCCGATTTCACGCGTTGATACAATCCATGAAATTTGAGACGCTAATGCACGTGTATGTGAAAGTATGTATTATATTTCTAATTCCTGACACGTGGGGTTAAAATGTGTACTCCGAATTCGTTATAGCAATACTTCCGTCAGTAATAATTAACGAAGAACAGATAAGTACGAAAGAGTTATTTTTAATCTTTAGGAAGGACGTATGCAGCATCTTACAATTCCTTCACAGATTATAAAGCACCGAGTAAATTAACTCCAGAAGCACAATTTTAAATATCATCGCAATGAAAATTACAATACACTGCCGGAAAAGAACTCCAAAGCGATTCCGCGTGGCCTCGTATCCTCACCGCTCCAAATCGAATCGGTGAGTACGTGTTTTCGTGCTCATTTTCAATTTTAAATCGCAAATTGAATTTTTCAATGAAAACGCCGCGCGATATCAGACGATCGGATAGGATTTTTACGAAATTAAAAATGAGGATATCGAGAGGTTTAAACAAACTCAGGGGTAAATGAAAAAAAAGGAAATTACGGAAATAACGGATCGCTGAATGTTTCCAAGTAACGGGGTAGATTATTTGTAAAGGTTTCGTGAACTGAACGGCGAAATCCAATATCATTTATATTATCGAAATTTTATCGTGCGGCGCGTATTATATTTACGTTTGTACAGGAAAACGCAAACACCGAAGTGCGTTTCACCTTCAAGTGTTGGCTACCTGTGCGCGAGAGACAACCTATTTTTCAATTTTCCCCACGCAGGTTTCAATGAGCTGCTTAAACCGATAATTAGACGTTACGCGTAAACACGGTTTGTTGTTATAAAATATGTGTAACACCGGGGCTCCGTTAACCGCGAATAATATTTCCCTCTGACTGATAAACATGCCTGATTAAGTGCATCATTGCTTGCAATTTAATACAATGAAGACAGTTAAAACATTTATCGAGCGCGGTTTTGATAATCACCAAACAAATGTACGACAAGTCGTTTTATCGACGCGATAATTAAATGGTCCAATTATTTCGATGCATCGAGAAGTCGAGGCTAGTGAAATGTTACCGACAATTATCGATGTGTTGTTAGTGTTAAGGTGTAAGCAAGCCTCGATTTTTTTGTTATAATAACTTTAATCTGTGGGCTATGTAACTATGAATAGATGAAAGTATGATTATTAGGGTGTAATTTTGTATAATCTGTACAACGTATCTGTACAACGTATTTAATGCTTAAAATTTGTAAAAAATCGAAATTTTGAGATAGATTCCCTCCATCCCAATAATTAATTTTGCATGTAACTCTATTTATGCTTGTTGGAGCTTAACAGAACGCCAATTAACGTATTTCGATTGCAATCATGTTCTTCAATTGCATTGAATCCTGACGCGCTTTTGAAAGCGAACAGCCCTTACGGATACGAATTGCTGAAATACACAATGGAATCCCAATACAAAATTTATAGTTTCCCCATGTGGTCTACTACTGTCTATTATAATGTAATGCTATTCAAACGTTTCACAGATATTTTCTTGTTGTATAATTTCATGTCTTGTTCTTGGTGGAATATTATTATGCAACTGTAAATATTACAGAATTTTCGATAACGTTCAAATAGTGTGAACATACAGTGGACGTAGAAAGTATTCGTACACCGATTAATTTCCAAAAAAACTGTGTAAAATTGTAATTTATTAACTTATTTTTTATTGACAATGACATTCTACATATTCTCGGAAATTTCTAGAATAGATATTTTACAAAAAAGAGATAGCTATTTATATAAGTTGCGAAACTAACAAGAAAAAAACAAATTTGTAAATTAGTATTCGAACAACAATCGTACAAGTACTAATTGCTCCTATACTTTTACCTCTACTTTTCGCATTGTTTTTGTTAATTTCACAAAATATATTAACTAGTAAATGTTGTTAGGGCTGTATCTAGCTTAGAGACTTCCGAGAATATGTAAAATATCATTGATTATAAAAAAAGAAGTTAAATAAACTACAATTTTACACAAAAGTTTTTTTTTGGAAATTGATCGGTGTACGAATACATTCTACACCCGCTGTATTTAATTATTTAATTTTAAGTGGAAGTACACACGATGACGTTTAAGTGTCCATCCCTTATTTTCTTAGTAAAAAAACAAAATCTTAATGGACCATTTGAAAAATCCTTTGTATTCATGCATAGCAATGAACCTCATCGATAGCAATGAACGTTTCTATTATCAGTTGGACATTCCCAAAGATTATTAACGGTTTTTCGAGTGCACGACGGAGAGCTAGATGATGATGCAGGGTCACCAGTACGCCGAGGTTATCTCGAGACGAATAGAGTGCACTTGTGGTGCATGAGTTGCATGTGTATGCATCCATTAAATCTGGGAGAAGAGTATGATGTCTATAGATGGTTCGTTCGTCAGAGCGAAGCGATGGCTATTAAAATCAGGGTCACTTTCGAAGAAGCGATAAACTGATTCTGTGATATCTTTTCCGAGAACAGTCTCGTGTTCTTAGGGTTTGGAAAAATGATTGAATACGTCACGTTCGCGAGGAATTGTTTGCTATACGCGGAATAACTTTTCCCGAGGTCGAGGTGATGATATAAATAAGATCTTCAGAGTAATCTGCTGCATTCGATGTAAAAGTAATATTTAATCTGCTAAGATAGCGTCAAGTCCTTCCTTGTTGACACGAAATCTTTACTGTTAATAACTGTAGTAATGATAACAATATCGTATCGCATACAACATTGTACAAAATATTTCAAAGGTGCAAAAATGACTGCTTGCTCCTTAATAAATTTCATAAATCTCATAAATATATGATAAATCTTATATTAACATTTTCGATCATTCACTGGCAACCTTCATTCGCGATGATGAATATACGTGTAATTCATCTATAATCAAACGAAAGTGCTGGTGCTCAAAAACGAAAATTCATGAAAGACTAATTTCCGTCATTAAAAAAGCGAATATGTAGCTCGTTAAATTGAAAAGTAGACTCGTCGTTTAGAAACAGAATTTTTCAGTGCTTCGCAGCGTGTTCTAGCTGCTTTCTAATTCTGTTTACAAATTTTTAGAGTTCAAGAGACTTGAAAGCGCGTCGGACGGGATTAATAAGAGTAACGCGGCTTTGAAATTATCATAGAAGGGTGTCGAATTTTTACTTGAAACGACTTTCTCTAGGCAGTTAACTTGTTGCTGACGATTAGAATATTGCGTGCACGGTAACTGAATTAACTTCACCTCTAAGACGATGTCTGTATTAAAATTGCGTGCCGAGGGTTCACTGTTGGTTCTACACGCAAATCCGGTTTATGTTTCCGACCTAACTACCGTTTTCCGGTACACGCGGCACCTTAGCCCTAAGGAAACGTTGATCGTGTCGGGAAAATTAGTGCAAGTGTCTGCTTTCGTTAGGAAAAGAATTACGCTGTTTACACGTGCCACGTAAGTGAAAGAATTAATAAAGAAATTAGAAAGTAGGTTAGGGTTGAATGATTTATAAAAAATGGTAATAATCCGTGGGCACTGTAATTTGGATACACAGACTAAATATTACTTATAGGAAAAAGAAAGACTAGACTTTTATAAGATTCACAATTTAATTATTAAAGTTACTAACGAATAATAATTTTTTGCTACGATATTCACTAAATTCGTACTGTTTTCCCAGTGGCAGTTTGTTAATGGAATTACTCAAGCAAAATAGCTTGTTTACCACATATTCTCTTATCAGTAGTTTCGACAAATCCCAGCCTATCGAATTTTACAAAGATTCCAATCGCTATCTGTGTCATCTATGTCAATTACGGAGTCTTGGATAAATTCTACTCCAATAG